GCCTCTCTGCTCTTCAGGGTAACTATGAAATAGAAATGCTAATCCCTTCCCTTCCCTGTCAACTGCCTCATGCGCTGGTTTTCTTTCTCTACAGGCCAGCAGCCCACAGGATCTTCGCCTCTTCTATGAGAAAAACAAGATGCTGATGCCCAAGTAAGCATTTTCCAGTGTCACCATTTGTATGCACTTGTTTACTCTGTATTTACACCTGTCCTTGCGTGCTCCTGAGTTGGCACTCAGGGAGGTGACTGTAAAATATTTGGCCGCATGCCTTCCTCCATTCCTTAAACCGGCAGTGGTGTGGCTCAGGGAACATCAGACAGCAGAGGATTGCCAGAGTTGGTGTTCTCTCTTTCCACAGATCCTCCTTGTCTCCTACACTGCAGAAAGTGTTAGTGATGCCAAGAGCCAGCTAGTGGTCCTGTCCCACACATGGCTTCCCTGAGGCTGGGAGCCTTGGGCAGAACCCGTGGCAATTCTTGAATCGTGTGAGCAGCCAAACTGTAACCTGCCATACCTGGCTGCAGATCACATTCCCATTTCTCACGTGTCAGGGCAGCAACTGCTTGTGCCCATCCTGCTAATAGGAGGAAATACTATAACCTCGATGGAAATGCACACTGCTGCAGTTTCCAAGGGGAAGATAACTGCTTTCATCCCACTGGGGTGTATGTTACCTAGCTGCTCAGTGCTGTGATTTGTCAGTGTATTTTGGTTTTGTTGCTGTGGTCTTTTCTTTTGATCACTGAGCTCTTAAAGCAGAACCTCATGCCTGCTCTGAAAACCTCAGCCTGATACAGAGACAGGACTGAAGTTCCAGATTATACATCCAAAAATAAGGCCTTTTTTAACCGGAACGTTAGCTTCCATTTGGCAGAGCTGTTAAAGCAGCTTCATATGCAGGAAATTCAATGAGTTTCTGTATATGGATTTTACCTTTTTTCCCCTTCTTAGTTTAGACAGCTCCAAGAGGTAGCAGAAAGAACTGTCAAGGAGCTCTTATCAGTGACTTGAGCTGTTCATTTAACTTCCCTTTAAGTACTTAAAGGGAAGGGGAAGAAGGAACACATTTCTACCAGGATTAAGTTTGAGCCATCTACGTAACTTCTTGGATTGAACCAGAAGGTGTGATGGAGTAAAACAACCAAACAGCAATTCAAAGCAAAAAACCCACCACACAGTTGGAGCTAGATGGCATGTGTGAACAGAAAGTAGAGCTTTCTGTTTTCCCTACTACCTTTGAGGTAACCCTTTTTGCTAAGAGAGAAGTGAATCCCTACAACTAATAAGGTTCCTTGTGTTGATCATGCTTTGGCTCATGGTGTATTCAGTAGGAAGCAGCTGAAATGAAACTCAGCTGTAAGAGAGAGCATGTCTGTTCTTGTAGGGATTAGTCCTTCTCCTTTGTTGCGAGTCCTTTATGCACTCTGTATTTACCATTTTCGCTTACCTCCACTTCTTAACTACCAAATTCCTCCACAATTTAGATCCAGGCCCGTAGTTTTCCCACCACAGAAGTCAGATCCAAAGTGGCCTTTGTATGAATGGCGATTCCCTGCTTTCCAAAATCAGTTTGTCTTTCTAACATGAGCTGCAATCTGTGCTATTTCTTGAGTAAACATGAATAAACTGCCTCGCCAGCCCTGCCAACACAGGATGAAACACAAAACCACTCGAGACCTCTTTCTCAGACTGCAGCAGTGCCAGGGTTTGGTTTCATTCTCCTTGGGGCTATGCAGGCTGGCACCCACCTCCATGGCATCGCCATGGCAAGTGCTGTGTTTTGGCTTGGAAACCAGGTGGGGAAGAAAAGCTCATTGGATGCTCAGTCTCTGCCTGCTGGGCTGGTGCTGTTGCTGTTGCTGACAGGTGAAATGCCATTCTGAGGTGGTGTCGTGGTTCAAGCCCAGCTGGCAACTTGGAACCACGCAGCCACTCGCTCACTCCCCCCCTTTTCCTTCCTCCCCCCGCTCCCGGAGGGATGGGGAGGAGAATCGAAGGAATGTAACTCCCACGGGTTGAGATAACAGCTCTCCAGTAACTAAGGTATAATACAAACCACTACTGCTACCAATAATAATGATAAGAGGAATAACAAGGGAAAAGGACACAACCGCTCACCACCCGCCAACCGATACCCAGCCCGACCCGAGCAGCGATCTGGGCCTTCCGGGTAACTCCCCCCAGTTTATATACTGGGCATGATGTGCTGTGGTATGGAATACCCCTTTGGCCAGTTTGGGTCAGGTGTCCTGTCTCTACTTCCTCCTGGCTTCCCCTCCTCTCTGGCAGAGCATGAGACTGAGAAAGTCCTTGGTCAGAGTAAACATTACTGAGCAACAACTAAAAACATCGGTGTTATCAGCATTGTTCCCAGACTGAAAGTCAAAAACACAGCACTGCACCAGCTACTAAGAAGGAGACAAAATGACTGCTGTAGCTGAACCCAGGACAGGTGGGGAGCCCATGCCAGTAGGAGAAAGCCCAAAGGCCTCACTATTTTACTAGTGCTGATCTACATAGCTAACATTCATTGTGCTGATTTGCGTGGCAAAGTATGTTCTAGATCACGGGGGAAAGGAGGCACTTTTGTTGCTTATGTTAAAAAAGATGGCATTGGAAGGTAGTACAGCAAAGCTTGATGGTTTAGACATGAGAGGAGGCAAACAGGCTGTTAATCTGCACCGTCTTCAGTCTCTGTTGTGACATCTGAGCTCTGCTACTTGACCTGCCTGTTTCTTGGCTTTAAAACCATATGAAAGCTAAAGTCATTGCTGGGAAATGGGCTCATTTTGGATGAGAGCTTTATGTGTCGTGGATAACGCTGGAGGACTGCAGGTCTGCAGCTCTAATGTATTTTTCAGGAGACACTGCTCGCTGTGGTATCTTGGGTTATTCCATTATGCAGTGTGCTTCTAAGGCTCACCTTTTTTAACAAGAGGGTGTTTTTTCTTGGCTCAGGGTCTCAGTTTAACTGCATCCCTTCCAGAGTCCTGGTGGCCTCCTCCTTTGGGAAGGCACATGGAACCATTCTGGTGTCAGGGATGGAAAAGCAACTCCTGCAGTACAAACGGGGATGAGGAATGCTTGCCATCATTCTCTGTTCTAGGAATTGGTGGGCTCAAATTCCTGCACCAGCAAGGCGGGGGCTTCACAGAAAAATAACTGGGTAGTACTGAAACCTATAAATACATACTTTGCCTCACATCTCTAGTTTCACTTGCCTGTTGGTGCTAGCCAGCACCTTTCCCCTCCCCCCCCCCCCCCCTCTCTTTTTTCTCCCCCCTCTTTTTACCTAAAAAAGTTGGTGGAAATGCTGTAGGAAGGGTTGTTTCTCCCAGCATCAGTCAGGCTTGGCTTCAGGGCAGTGAGTGATGCCAGCCCAGCAAAGCCCAGCCTTGCCTCAGTGCTGAGCTGCTGAGCAGGCTTGGGTTCTGCACAGTTGAAATTGCTGTGCAGAGCACACATGCCATTACCTGAACTGACCCTCACAAGGGGAGAGGGGAGGGCCTGGCAGACCATGGGAACCATGCTGGGCCTGGCCATGATAAATAGACTTAATGCTGAAAGGAGTTGGAGCCACCTCCACTTAATTTGGAGAGCTCTGCTCTGGCTGCAGGCATGGCCAGGCTGCTACAGCCCCAAACAGTGCTGCTGGTTGCACAGGAAGGTCAGCAGAGCTGAATCCACTTGCACAAGAGCTGAACTCTGCTTTCCCTGCCTTAATCTGTTCATTTATTCCTGCTTCTTACAATCTACTGGGGTTGTTAAGAGCTGCCCTGGCCTCTCCCCCATCTGCCTGTGGGGTGAGGGAGGGCACAATGATTTACTAGCTCTTCTGTGCTGCAGTGGCCATTGAAAAGAGTATTTTCTTCCTAACTGTACTGGAGGGTGGGGTAATAGCTGCAATGATTTTAGCTTGATCAGGTGGCAGTTGCTCACATCTTAGTGGCCTTTGATTAATAAATGCAATATATCAAGGAAGCAAATAGACAAAAGTTACCTGCTAGTCTTACATAAGCTGCATTGGTAAGAAATGCCTTATTAAAATGGTAGTAATTGGTGATACATTTCACCACCATTGTCTTAACTGGAAGCTTCCACTTGGTGGTAACTGCTTCATTTTAATGACCTCCTTATTCCTATTTAGCAAGTAGAAGAGATTTTATTTATCATTTGCAAAATACTGCATGTTGAATGGATGACATTGGCACCACTGTGAATGGGAGAGGCCACTAAAGCTAGATTACCTGTAACCTTAACAATGACAATGGGGAGTAAAAGTCAAATAGATGCAAATAGAGATGTTTCTGTTCAGCCTCTCTCCAATGAGCTCCTCTTACCTTCCTAGCCCAGCAGGCACGAAGTGTGTTTGCATTTGCAGGTTGCCTTCCTGAATATGTAAAAGCAGTTTAAGTAGACTGCAGGTGTCTCTGATTTTGCTTTTGTTTTCAATTCTAGCATCCCCAGGGAGACATCCAGCCACCTGAGGCAGCTGTTGCTGGGCCTTTTGCAGCGCAATCATAAGGACCGCATGGACTTCGGTAAGACCTTCTTCCAGTTGTAGCTCTGCTGCCTGTCTGTATTTTCTTCTGCACCATGGCACTGCACGTAGCTGTGTGCTTTTGGATGGTGCTAGCAGAGGCATGCAAACACCTGGATTTTGCCTGGAAGGTTTTAGTGTATGTGCTAGCAATGGGTCAGTGCTGATTCCAGTACAGTTTCATAAACCTGGAGATTTGGGACACCTTCAGCAAACGTTTCTTACTTGCATCCCTTCTCCTGGCTTCTGCTTTTGTAATCTCTCTGAACTGCTAGTGTGTTAAGTTTAAGTCCCAGGTGAAATGTGTATCTTCTGCAACCATGTTCTTTCTCTGTCACAGTTCCCTCACAAAGCTGCCAGGTACACCCATTTAATGATCAATGCAGTCTATACCCTCTATTTCTCAAGGTCTCACTGATAATCTGAGCTAGGAGACTGTAGTTGCTTGCAGACCCTTCCCTCCCTCTCCAGGTTTCTGTGGAAGGATGCTTTGGTTCTCACTGGGGCTCAAGTTGGCAGTCTCGTAGCTCTTCTGTTAGATCTGTCTCTGTCTCCTGACTTGGTGGGCATAAAGGCTTTCTTTTTTTATTGTCTAAATTCCTTCTAAAATGAGAACAACCATTATGTGCCAGGGAGTTCTGGCTTTGGCAGCCTCTTCCAGATGCGTCTAGCTGAGCCAAAAGGTCTGAAGAACCTCTACTTGAAGCCGTGGCCTAGAGGAAAGCAGGCAGAGGTAGAACCTTTCCTGGAGCCCTTTTAGTCATCTAAAGGCAACTGTGCAGGGTTTTGTATTCTTTCCCCCCACCTCTCCCTTCCCTGTGGGCAAAGATAGTCTAGACTTGTCTCCAGTACAAATCAGGATGTGAATACTCTCTCACCAAGCAAGCTGGTCTTGGTGGTGTTTCCTCTGAGTGCAGAGAATACCAGGGAGCAGCTTCCATGGGCCAGTGCTGCTGGTGAAGAGGGTAAGTTTGCTCCTCAGCCTCTGTGTTTGAATGAGGTTTGGTGCTGGGGAAGTCTGTTCAAGTGGTTTTCCTGGAACAAGGCTGTGAGGCCAAAGCCTGTGGATTTGTGTTAAGTGCCAAGTGTGCAGTCTCAAAGCAACTCACAGAGCTTTCTGCTTTTGCAGACAGTACCTTTTTTCCCTGAAAATAAGGCGTGCTTCTGTGTGTTTTCAGGATGCTGCTTTTTAGTCATGCTTGGGGTAAAAGGGTTTGATATTTATGTCTTTGGGGTTTGGTTTTCTGTTGTTTTTGCTTCTCTGCTCAGGTGGATTTTTTCCTGCTGGGCAGCATATGCTAGTTGATGAAAAGAAGTTGTTTTGCAGCCTCTGTTATTCTTTTGGATTAGAGATACCAGGAAAGCCTTTCTGGGGACAGTGTCACCTGGGGGAGGCAAGCATGTGGATTAACTGAGGCTGATCATAATTATCCAGTGCTGAATGTAGAGGAGGAGAAGTGGGAAAACAAGCCTTTTGAAAAAGGTGCCATTGAAGCTACTGAGAGACTGATTTGGATACAGGCACTTCTCAGTATTACTCCCTGCAGATCTATCTGGGATGTGGATCTCTACCTCTTCTATTATGCTGCTGTGCATTTCAAAAGAAAATATCCTTGAGGTTTCTGTTTCCCTGCTGTCAGAAATGGAGGCTGGTAAACCTTTTTAGCCCCCCATAAGCTGTTTTTGTACCTCTGGGAGTAGACTGCATGAGTCAGAGTCTAACACTTGGAAATTTGAGATAATAGACTTTGATTTCACTCAGGACAACTGTTAACAGCACATCTTGCTGCATTGAAATTGTTGTCTGCCCTTAATCACAGGCAGGATCCTTTTCTCTCTAAATTGGCATGTCCTTGTAAGATGCAGTTGTTTTTCAGGTAGGGTTTGTGAATATATTCTGTACAGAAGCCTGGATCTGAGATATTCCTTGTGCTTTATAGATGGCATATCTCAGTGATTGTGTGGCATCCCATGCTGTATTCTAATCTCCTATCAGTTGAGAGGAAAGCAAGTACCAAAGCCATGATTTATTTATACCAATGCACTTCTTCAGCATTCACTTGTATTCTTGGTCTCATCTACCTCTGCCTCCTCTCCAACTCTCTGCTGAAGCATCTGAGCTTCCTCCCTGCTTGTAACAACTGGTTTCCTTTCCCTGCTGTCTTCTGGTGCTCGATTTTCAGCTCCTCTGTGTTGCTTGGAGACTCTCTGAACTACCCTATTGAATGGATCCTTCTTCCTTTCCCTCAAGTATCAGCTCAGGAGACCTCCAGTTGATGCTCTTTGCCAAAACAGCATCAACACTTAAGTGAAAGCACTTCCTTGTTCCCAGCTATCGTCATGTTTTCATCTGTGGCCAGCTGTGCACAAACTGTTGATGTCCCAAAGCTCTGGATCCTGTCAGAAGCAGATCTTCCCCTTCCTTTAGATGGCTCCCAGTAGGCAGGTGCTTTGTCCTCCTGCTGGCAAACTAACCATGGGCTGCTCTCTTCACCTGCACTGCTTTGGCTGATGGCCGGTGCCTTTGTTCACTGTTCTTTACCCTCCTGCACTATGTAAGGTGAAGATCTGTGTGTGCTGCTGGGTCAGGGATGATTACAAAGCCACTGTCCCCAGTGAAGTGGGGTGTCCTGCTGCAACTTGTTCCCTGAGTCGCCCTGTAGTTGCCTGGACATGTGGGTGATGCCCTCCATAGAGGTCCCCCAGAGTTTAGCTGATTCATGCAATAACAGCACATAAGGTTGAAGCTTCTCTTACTTGTTGCATCCCAGCGGCTCTTCTACCAGGAGCTGACGGTCTTTGCAATCTAGAGGTTATCTAGAGGAAAGCCAGGATGGTTTCAAGTTTTCTGGTGATGTTTACAAGCAGGGTTGTTTAAATTTTGCTTTGCAAGCACAAGTAACAAGCAGTTTGGAGAGGTAAAAGTGAAAGAAATCCTTTCCACCCCCTCTGTTGAATAGCTCGACTGAGGGATGGTACCCTCTAGAGGAGCAGGCTGAAGAAGCAGCAGGAAACTCCAGCAGTTGAGCAGTTCCTAGCAGGATAGGGATGTTCTCCATCTACGGCAGATCTAATCTGAGAGATTCCAGCTTTCCCTGCCAGAGATTTTCTTCGTTTCTGTTGTGCACTCTGATCTCCAGACCAGTGTTCTCTGGCTGCAGGACCATGGCAGTGGCAAGGAGGGGCTGAGGAGAAGAGGGATTGTTTAAGTTTACAAAGCAGACAAGCAAAGAAAACAGTTGCTCCATTATGGAAAGCTCACTGGCCAAAGAGGAGCTGCTTACAGAAAGCTGTACAACAACTAGAGGTTTGTAAACACTGGGTGTTGCAACAGGAAATCCATGCTGGGAAAAGAACTTGAACTGCCTGCAGTTAACCACATCATCAGCGTTGATCCATGACTAATGGCTGAGTAGCTGGTTGTGATAGGAGAGGACTCTGGCACAGAGCTGCTGTGGATCAGACATGAAGGAGTCGGGAGTGGCGGCAACTTGTAAGGACAGGCAAACTTGTAGAGGGTCTCCAACAAGCCAGGACAGAAGCTTTTCTTGGCCTGGAGCTGTAGAATATTCTCCCGTAATGAGTGAAGACTTCAGCACTCGTGTCTGGTGTGAAAGGAGGGGAGCACTGGCCTGTTGTTCTGTGGTGGCCCTTCAGGAAAATGTATTTCTGACTTTGAATGCCATTTCAGCCAGGGACTTCGTCTTTTAGTGCTACTTGGCACCTTGGGATTTCTCTCTTCTTGCTGATGGGACCTTTTGATGCACATGTGCTGACGTGGCCATGCCAGGTCTCAACATAGTCACACTATCTGCCCCTCAGTAACTGCTTCTCATTCCTAGAAGTGTAAGAGCTATTGCAAATCAGGGGAACATTAACAATGAGTGTAGTGTATTCTCCCCAGCAACCCAGGGTTTTAGCTTGCAACAAAACCTTACTAAGGTCTTTAATGCCCTGTGGGGAAGTAAAATCCATTAGTACTGGTGTTGAGTCCTGAGGTACATGTTCTTTGGCCATGCTTTGGTCAAAGATTGGGGTTTTTTCCTTCCCTTTCTTCATTCATGTAATTGCCCCAGATGATTTCCCTTCTCTGTCCCTTTACCCCTCTGATTTTGTAGAGATGACTGGTAGCAGAGGAGCCATTTACTTTATTCATACTTAAATAGCAATCTCTGGATCCAGCTAATTTGCCATAGTAGGTCCTACATCCAGTCTGCACTCTTGACCACTGCTATATGCAACTACAGTCAGTCAACTTCCATGGTTGATCTAATAGTGTGGAAAAATCACTGTAAAATACTGTAACTTGCTGCACTTTAACTGCTTTGTAACCTTCTTACAGTAATTTCTTTTCACTGAGTCACTGTTCTTGGTTTTTTTCAGATGAGTTTTTCCATCACCCATTCTTGGATGCAAGTGCCTCAATGAAAAAATGTAAGTGTTGCGTTTTTGATTACAATCTTTGTGAACCATGACATGACTTCCTTTGCTGTGAGTTCAAAAGAAAAAGACTGCTTTATGTTTTCGTAGTGACTTAGGCAGGGATTCAGCTTTTGTTACTGTGTCATGTCCAGATTTTGCTATCAAAACATATTTCATTTTGCTGAGTTATCTTCAAAGGGATGATTATGGGGGCTGTTCAGAAACTTCAAGTAGAAATAAAAGTAGTTTTGAAACACATTCAGCTGCTTTGTATGAAGTGCTTGGCCAGTGAGGCTGCTTGTAGGTAAACAGGATTATGAGCGTGATCTTGCTTTTCTTCTGCATCTGTAGGGCAGTTTGGGATAGTGAATGGTGGAGTCTGGTGCTCTTGCCCATGCTTGCCAGGTGGTACCTTAGGCTCTGGTTACCAGCTCTTGTTTCAGCATTTACCTCCAAATTCTTGATCAGTCTTACTTCAGAAGGGTTAAATTTGGGTGCTCAGTGGGAACTGGCCAAAACAAAGACAGGTTTCCATTAAAGTTCTTTCTTTCCTCTCTTGATTTTGAAAATTTCCAACCACATACTCAGAATGATTCATATGTTATTGATGATTCAGAAGTTTGTTTTCAATGAAAAACAAGTCAGAATTCCTTCTAGTGTATGGGATGTAATAGTCCTCTGGCCAAGAGACTTGGTTTAGTGGAAATGTGTATGGTTACCTCCTTCTGGAAGGATTCTTCTGTGTCCTTAATCTTCTGAATAAAGGAGTAAGCCAAGAATTTTCATCAGTGACTGATCTGGGTTGCTGGAAGCTTTGGAGGAAGCGTGTCCAATGCTTGCTGAATATGGAGCCCCTCTTGAATGTGTGCCATGGGTGGACATCCCTTCTCTGATGTCCACGTCGCTCCTGACAGTCTCCTGCTTTCCTGCTTCCAGAGCAGGACTTCTTAGTTGTTCCTGATACAGATTTTAACTGTGTACTTAGGTGACCGTCCTGCGGGCAAGAAAAGACGCTTCTGGTTTACGGGAGCTTGCAAACCAGCCAGGCCCCTGTCTCCATCTGCACCAGCAAGATGTGGGGCAAGTCCTGTAAAACAGGACTGCTCTGCAGGCAGGAAAGGATTCTGCCTGTGTAAGACTGCTCCTAAGCCAGCTCAGCTCTCAGCACCTGCTGTACCACTGCCATGTGGGAAAAGCCCTTCAAAGTCCAGCTCCCCTGTGGGCCCAGGACTCCCTGCTCAGGACGTTCTTGCATGCCCACCAACTCATCTCTTGCCTCTGGCAGTTCCATTGCTTCACTGGCCAGGGGAACAGAAAACACCCTGCAAACGGGAGAGGGTTCTCCAGACTTGGCCTCAGTTTCCAGCTTCTGCGCGTTTACTGTGCAGAAACCAGAGGCATCATTGTGAGCAGGGGACTGTAGCTCAGCCTTTGCCCTCTCATGCACCAAAGTTAATAGTGCAGGGTCAAGGCCCAATAAAAAGAGCACCTTTACAGGCTGGTAAGGAATATACAAACTCCAGACCTCTCTGCTGCACTGCTGGTCCTTACGTCCGGGCATATGTCCACAGCCTGGAGTCCTCTCCAGGTCGGAGAGACCACTGCTGGTTTTGAAAAGCCAAGGGGAGAAACATCTTTCCATTGCTGGAGGTCTTCAAGTTGTCATGCACAGAGATGTGCTAGTGGAGAAGATGATTCTTGTAGCCTGCTGTGGAGGTCTCTGCTACTGCCAGTGGCAGTGATGGATGAAGGTCTCTGGGAAGTGCAGTGAAGAGCCTGGATGAGAGGCTGCACGTGGGAGTGGTGGTCCTTTTGATTTCTAAATGGGTGAGAGAAGAACCAGTGTGTCAGCAAAGGCCTGGCTTATGGTGATCTTGATAAGGAAGTCTCACCTGAAGTGTATGGAATGCTGCTTAACATGCTTAATATTTGCAGTTTTAGCTGAAGTAGGTGACTTAGGAAGGTGAAGTTGCACAGCAGTTAGCTCCCCTGGCTTTGTGCGCAGAATGAAGATGGGTCCAAAAGTTTATTGTGCTACTTCATCTCGACATGTGGCTCAGCATTATGAGTGTAGGAAGTATCAGAGAAGAGATGCAGCTGCATGTAAATCATGATGCTCAGACTGAATTAGTCCTCAGGCCTCTGCACAGTACTGGGGAAGGAACAGCGTGCTTTTGTTCTCCTTGGGAGCTGGTAGTTGGGTTACCACTGACTTCGGTGGAAGCAGGACTAAGGCATTCACATTTGAGTGTGCAGGTTTCTCTTAGGAGAGTTTGTTGGATGATCTGTGCCAGCATTGTGGTTTTGAGCAGTAGCTGTTTAATGATGAATGCACCGGGACCCACTGTGCAGCCTCTACCTAAAGGACCTTCCAGTTCAGAGGTGCCTGCACTGCAGAAACAGGCAATGATGCATCCGTTTAGGTCCCAGAACAAGTTTTAGGTCCAAATCCGCTTTCTTTGCATATGAGAGCATTTTGCAGTCGGAGCAGGGGGTGGTGGTCTCCTACCCCTGCAGAGAAATCTGCCCTCAGGTGGCAAGGGCAGAACGGGAGAGCTGCCACCAGCGTGCGGAGCTGAGCACATCACCCGTGCTCCTGAACCCTGTCAAGGCTGGTCCAGAGCTGGTCACACCATGATCAAAATAAAGTGAGAGCCATTGTCTCTCCATTCTGTGTGGATATGTGTTAGTACACTATCTCGTGGAATTAGAAAGGGGTTTTTTAATACAATGTAGTTTTGGAATTCTGGAAAACTGGGGAGTCCTCAAATGTGGACAGTTCTGCAAGTGGCTAACTTTGAAGTTGCTACGGTGAGGGGACCCCCTTTAAATAAATTTGTTCTTCAGAACACTTCAAAAATCAACATTTCTGTCAAAAATCTTTAAATATGACATTCCTGTCAAGCTCATGCTCTCCACTGTGGTTTCGAGGGATGACTCTTCTTATGTCCCTCCTCTCATCTTACTTCACTGAAGCAAGGACGTAAGTGTGCTGCCATCCAGGGTGTACCACAAAGCTCTTTGCCACGGGCTTTAGCCTGGAGAGTGGGTTCAGGGCCTTGGGCTTTGTTAACCAAAACATGTACTTGATTGTTTTTTGTTTGTTTATTTATATTTTCTGTTGTGGGTTTTGTACCTGTGACTAAGCATGTACTTTAGATGTGTACAAATTCATTAATAAAGTCTTTAAAATACTGTGTCTAGTCAGAATGTTGTCTGTCTGTAGCCAGGTCTGATCAGCATATGGTATAGGGCAGTGTGTTACAGTAATAATGCATGAGGAGGCATAATTAGATGCTTGTGCAAGTCTTCTCTCAGTAAACACACTGTAATTGGTACCCGTGCAGAATATTTTGGAGGCTTTTTTGCTCCTACCTTTAATGAATAGTAAGCTTGTACCTGCTTGACTTTGAGTTAAGAGAGCATGCAATGGGAGCAGTTACGGTTCAGACCTGCATGGGGTGGTTCAGCGTCTGGAATATCTGTCAGGCTTAACTTTTACGATCTTAATAATCTTATTGTACATAAAAGCTGGCAAAAAATCACCATGACTTTTGCATAGAGAAGATTTTAATGATGCAAAGTTCTAAACTCTAAAAAGCAGCTGTTCTTTGAGCAAGTCCTTTCAGCTTTTGCACTGAGAGTATTGCCTGGTCAGAGATTGCAATTAGATGATTTTTCATAACTGGCTTTAATTGAGTCCAGATAATCACAGAAATGCATCTCTCCAGTGTGTGTAAAACTTGGATTACAAATAAAGCTTTATAGAAAGGTCAAGGCTCGGATATTTTAGGACAACCCAGCTCCTGGTAGGATGGTTTGTCAGAAGTGACCTCTGCAAGTGTAGGATCCAGTATGGAGACCCACACAGCTGGAGTACAGCCTTGCCTTTATGTCTCCCAGCTCTCCCATTTTGAAACCAGTTGGCATTGGTTATGCAACATACAGGGGTGACTGTTTTGTTGCTGGAACAAGTCGGAGAGGACAATTATTAAACCAGACTTATTTACATTACAATTACAATGCAGCAATTTCTGGATTTGGGTGGGGGCCTACAATCCGTGTTAACATTGCCCACATTCAAACTTGAGCTGCAAACATGATGAGCCAAGTGTTTGCACCTTTTTTAATTTTAAACAGGGAGTGCCTGGGTGTGTGGAGGGGATAGAAGCGAGCATCTTGCTTTCAAGCTGTCCTACGTGGCTGACGCTCCAAATGCACCCACAGGGATGCGGCGGTCGGAGAGGGTTTGTCAGAGCCAAGCCTTGTGGTTCTGCATGCAGAGAAGTAGTGTCAGGACCTTTTGAGTTGGACCTCGCAGTGTGAATTTGGGTTTAAGATAAGAACTATGATTAATAGAGGCTGTATCTAAAGGTGTGCTTCATGCAGACGGAGTTTTTAACTTGAGTTTCAGATGATAAAAAGTCTGCTGGCTTGTCTTCCTTCCCACATGAATGGAAAGCTGTCCAAAGCAAACAGACAAAAATAGAAGAGTCTCAGTTTAAACCAGCCGGGTTTAAATCAATAATGAACACAGAACCAAAATAGAGTGGAGGGGACCTTGAGAGAAAACTGAAATTACTCTAACAAAAATAACTAATTCTAGGAAATATGCATGGTGATGCAAGTCTTGCAGCAGGTGTGCAGATAGAGTTCAGAAATCACTTACCTTTTCGTTAAAGCATCTTTACATAAGAGGAAGGTCTGTCTGTACAAGGGTGAACTGTTCTGTAAGGGCTGGCAGGGTGAAAATGGGGAGACTTTTCCCCCCTCTCAGACTTCTGGTATTAAATATATAGGGAAGGTACTAGGGATCGCTCTGTGGGCACTGTGGGAAGGTTGTGGTGTAGGCAGGACGGAGCTCCCCATGTTACAGTCAAGTTCTCAGACCTCTGTGTGTGTTCCCTGAGCGTGGGGAGTGGGAAGCAGCTGTGCTGGAAGAGTGTGTGGGGTGCGGGTGGAGGAGCTCTCCGTGCCAAGCCCCTGCCCGACCTCCCAGAATACCCATTGCCAGGGTACCGCGGTCCCAGTTCCTTTAGCGGAGCCAGGGCAGTGCACTTCAACAGCACAGTCCATCGAGGGCACAGACATCAAGTGTAGAATAGATGCAGAGGATGAAAAGTAGCCTCTTGCAAAGCTTTGGAAAGGTTCATTTCATTATGGACCTAACCCAGAAAACGTGGTCCAGCACAAGAGGCAAAGGCGTCAGATCCCATGCAGCCATTGCACTATGGCTTCGTATTGCACAAGCCCTGGGACTCTGCTGAATCAGTCTTTATTTGCAGGATAACTTGACCTTTTAAAAAAACATTTGGGTTTTGTTAACATTAGCAAAGGGTGGAAGAGATCCCTGTGACCCTGGTTAAACTATTACAGTGGTTGATTACTTACGTTAAAACATGTTTTTTAAGTCAGTGCTTCCTTGGCTTCATTTTCCTGTTGTTGGATCTTGTTACATCTCTGTCAGACTGAGGAAATGAGCATCAAAGTGATTGCTCTTTTTGTGCTAGGAGACACTGGTCCAGTCATCCTTTAACCTTCTTTGATAGGCTACATGGAAACACTTCTTAAAGCCTTTTATTAAAGGGCATATTTGCCCATTCTTTTATCATTAGAACACTGTTTCAATAGTTAATTGCAGAGAAATATACTCCAATTTTTCTAGCCGGTTGAATGAAGTACTTTGTAGTATCTAATGGGATTAATGACAGAGGTAGTTTTACTTCAAACAGAAACATTCTTCTTCTAGGTGTTATTAATCTTCTGTTTATTAAGTATGGAGTCATTAGCACAGATCTTGTAAAGGTAGAAGTCTGATACAAGGTGCTAATTCTCTGCCAGCGCAATGGAAGAGCAGCAAAATGTTCCTCTCCTCACTTAAGCATTTCCTCTGATTTCTATCTTAATAGATATGAATGGTTGCAGAGTAAAATCTGACTTAAAGCTGCCTTGAAATGGGGATGTTGGGACTCTTCTGCAACTTCTGCACTGTTCTCGTGCGGGTGGACTGGCAAAGTTCTTTAGAGAGTTAGTGTTACCCTTACCTTGTCTCCCTCCTTGGCTGAGCTGAGCTCTTCTAAGTTATTCACTGTACCTCACTTGCCTAAGTCATTGGAGTTAAATATTCTTTTCTCCTATGATGCCTTAATCATTGTTTCTGCCTGAAGGTCAAAGCTTACTAGTCCTTTCAGTGTGAGCTTTATGCCTCTGTGAGAGTTATAAAAGCCAGTTCAACAATGCAGTGAATAAAATGGGCAGTTCTGCTACTGAACAATAAAACATAAGAGGAAAGGATGCAGGAACAGCCTGTGCTGTGTAACAATTTCTGTACAAAGAGATTAAATAAGCAAAACTTCTTTAACTTGCAGAAGTGACTCAGGGAGAACGTGTTGAGGTATAGGAAGCAATGAACTATTTCCTTGTGGAATGGTTAATTATGTGGGTGGTTTTTTATAGCATATGGCCTGGGGTGCCCGAGTGACTGTTGGGGCAGCAAGGACATAGGGCTTGAGTAGGCATGTGTTTTACTTAGCACAGAACTCCTCATATTTGATGTATGTGTGCTAAGCCACAAGGTCTGATGAAGGGTATGGTCTAGCTTCTACCCCTGACATGAGTAATGCAGTCTGCTTCTCTATTTATCTTCCCCTTCATTTGCAAAGATGCTTTGGAGGCTTTTTAGGGCAGAAACCATCTTGCTATCTGTGTAGGACAGTTGTCAAGTGGACATCTGACCTTGATCAGATGTTCTGAGACCTTCCACCCCAAGAGCTATAACTGAAATAGTGCACAGTGGAGTGAATGGTGTGAATCATATAACCCAACAGAACACTAGTTTTCCTTTTGTTCTCCTTTAATTGGTTGCATCTGATACATGAGATACATGATACTACATGAGATAACCCAGTATGGATAAAGATGAAAAAGAACTTTTATTGTTGATTAATCTTAGTTTGACAACTTCTTTTGGTTTTGTCTTTTGCTGGTTTTAGCTGCTTCTGTGCCAATGCCTTCTTATCCCAGTTCAGGCTCCGGTAGTTCCTCCAGCAGCTCTTCTACTTCCCACTTGGCGTCACCTCCCGTAAGTACGGCTCAGAGGATGTGCTGCTTGTGTTAACGGGTCTCCTGCTTGCTTTATTGAAACAAGGTCTCTGCTTTTGCTGTCTTCTGGTGCAAGTCCTGAACACTTTAGTTCTGGGTTTGGTTCGGTGTCTTCTCCAGTCCGTGTAGAGTTTAGAGGTTGTCTTTTCTCCCCACTAGAAATATTTTCAGCTTGGCCATTGCCTATTATGTGAAAATCCTTTATGAAAGCAGTTGGTATTAATGACATTAGCTTGTCTTGGCAGAGGTGGAAAGTTCCTTGGAACCAGAAAACAGTCACTAATCCAGCATATGGCTGCAAGTTCTCTGTTTTCAAGCAAAGTCTCTGCAGCTTGGCAGTGTATCCACCCTTCTTTGTAAAGCAAACTCCTCCTTTCTGACCAGCGTTCCCAGGAGCCACAGAGGGACATTCAGCAGCGCTGTTTGCTCAGGCCAGACCTGCCACAATCCGGTGGCCTTGTGAGAGATGATCCAAACTGATGGTTTTTCTCTCTGGTTGCCTGAAATGATGAACATTTTTCTGGAGGGCAGAATATGAGCTGACCAGTGAAGTGACATTCCTGCAACTCGCTGAACTGGCAGCTTGTTTTTGGAGGCTCTTGGTGAAAGCTGCCTTTGACTTAGAACTCAGGAATGCTGGTGGTGCGATGGGTAGGGGAAGGGAGAAGAAGTGAATTTTTTCCTCCCTGGCATTACTGCTTCTTTGCGTTGTCCTCTGAGTTTCCCTGGGTCAAGGTGTCTCTGGTGTGGGAAAGGCTGAGAGGCAGTGTCAGAAGCTGATGTAGGTGCTCATGATGTGAGCTGGACAGAGAGGAGAGGTCTGCTCTCCCCTGAATGTCACATAACCCTGAGGTCCCTGAGAGCTGCTTCTCCCCTGCAGCTGTAAGTAGAGGGTGGTTGGCTGAGGCCCTGCTGACTCCTGGAATGAGTAGATGGTGTGAAAAGCTGACTCTTTGCCCGAAGTTTTTCTGGTCTGGGAAGCTCAGGGGTGGTACAGGCTCACTGCCAGACTGGGGGGGATCCCACGTTGGAAGGGTACTGCACCAGTCCCGCCCTGCATTTTGAAGTTTTGCTGATGGAGGTGTGCTGGTTC